GGTCATTGTTGCCGCCAGGGAGTGAAGATGAAAACATTTATTTCGCTTTGCGAATAACCGTGCTATGAAATGCCGCACAATTGGAGAATTTCAAGAACATCTTCACGGATATAACACTTTCGTTAGGTTATTTAAAGCGGCAAATGACCACCAAACCATAATCTTAGCAGACGAATGTGCCAATGAAAATCGTAAACGTGAATTGTTGGTGAAAATGTTGGACCAAAAAGTTTCAATAAAATATATAAAAATTTTGGGCGGGACGAAGTTCGCCGGGTCTGCTAGTAGTTGTATATAAGCGTTGAATTATAAAATGTTATCATTATTTTTACTTTATTGCTTTTCTGTTCATTTGTATTATATTTTTTTTGAGTTGCTTAAATTTTTTCGTTAAAAAACTTTGTCCTTCACAGGTACAGTAACTTTTTTTATGAAAATAAAATTAAATGTTTAGAGCATATAATGCTTTTTGATTTTTTTTTCTAAGTATATAAGAAGTTGGTAAAAAAATCCAATTGATTAAAAAAATAAAAAATTACATAAAACAAAAATCGAAATTTTACAAACTGACCACTTTATTTTGTTGTCCAATAAGTTTCCTAATTTCTGTCACAAAAAAAACATAAGATTCGAATGAATGGATGCTGAAATATTACAAAACGTGTAACAGCTTGTATAAAAATCTGTTTGCAAATAACTCGTCGAAAAAGTAAAATTAGCCCAAAAGCATTGGTGTCAATATAGCACATCATGTTCACTTTTAAAATCTGCCAATGACATATACAAAATCGAAAAGTCAATTTGGGCACGGTGGTCTTGAACCAGTCTTAAGTTCTATAAAAGTGTGCCTAAAATCGGCTTTCACAGCCTTTTTCTACATCATTTGTCCATCGAGATCAAAATCGTAGCTGACCCTTTTTTCAAGATATGCATATTTTTATATTTTACTTTTTCAACGCAATAATCATTGTATTTACAAATACTTATCATTTTAACAATGCAGGAATCGTATAAAAATTTGATATAAAGGTTATTATATATATGTATATATAAACATACATATATATATATATCGAAAAATATATTTATATATATCGATGTTTTTGCCAAACCGCCTATCTTACGGCAGCCAAATTTTTCAGGAGGGCGAAAAAAGGTTTTTCTTTGAAGGCATTGCCGTGATAGGCTGTATTTTCCCTAGCTATTATGTTATAAATCTGTTGTTTTAATAACGATTTTATGATTTTTATGCATAAATCTCGATGCCTGGAGTTCAGGGTTACCAAATTTAATTTTTGCCACAGCGGCGGTTTAGGCGGTTTTGCAAAAACATCGACGATATAACATATGTATTTGAATTAGACGTAACCATAGGGCTTATAACCTTAAACATTTTTTTGAAGTTATTGTAATTTCTGGCAAAGTTGACCCTTCACTAGACCAGAACTTCCTTAAGTAGGTTTCGGGGAACCCAAGGGTTCCGTAGAAAAGTCCCAGGGCTCCGTGAAGTCATTAATATTTGGCAGTTCAATAATTTAACAGATACATAAGTACAAATCGAGGGTCATCGCTTAAAATTCGGCATGAATAAGCACGGTGGTCGGCAATCGATTTGCACACGCAAAGAAAAGTTCCATAAACAGAACCCTATAATTAAATTAAATTAAATAACCTGAGTTTGAGCTCTAGTCAAGGCAATATCGCAAAAAGTATAGAAAAAATGGTTTTTTAACAGCGGTCGCCCCTCGGCAGGCAATTGCAAACTTCCGAGTGTATTTCTGCCATGTAAAAGCTTCTCACAAAATCTATTTGCTTTTCGAAGGTGGAGTAAAACTCTAGGTCCCTCGATTTTTATAACAATATCAAGACGCACACCGCAAATTGGAGGAAAAGCTTTTATTAATACTATTATTGGAGTATCCAGCTTATAAGATTTTTGAAAATATCAGTGAAGTTACTACATTTTTTGTGCAACAATTTGAGGGTCATTGTCTGAGGGCGGAATGATTCCAACTCTGGATGAAAGACCAAGATCCATATAGTAAAACCTCAAAATCGTTAAACATTCTTTGGTCAAATTTCTTTGCTATTGCCAGTTTAAATTTGCAATATTTTGCCTTAGTGTCTTTAGAAAAAATAAAAAAAAGAGTTAAAATACATATCGGAGAGAAATATGTTGTTTCGAGTCATATAGTAAAGTTTTACGAGGAATAATTTTGTAAAACATTTTAACCCGTTATCTCCCTCACAAAAGGGTCGTTTTGGTGCTCTTTTTAGATAGTCCGAATAAAATGGCATTGTGAAGGTCGCTAGAGGGTTAAAATCTTCTAGAAAAGTATTTGCCATAAAATTTCACTAGGGGTCCTCTCAGGCAAAATCTTTTTACAAAGAATCTTTAAGTCCACGGAAAATAAAAATATGCCCCAACTTTTTATGCTTTATTTTATACTTCGTTTATATATAAGCAGCATCGGAATCATCGCTGTGATCAGAATCTGAGTCACACATGATGTCCACGTGTGATTCCAATGCTGGCTCTACTGGTGCTTAATCCACCAACAAATTTCTGCAAGAATTGCATCCGGTGCTTTTTTTCCTCTATATCTGTATTGTTTTTTTAACTAAAATAAGTTAAAATATTTTTGTGTTACAAGTATTTACTACCTCATTTCAAATGGAAGAGCCACTTGATGGTAGCGCCCGTTGTGAATTTTTAAGGACATGTACTTTTTGTTACATATGTATTTACCACAGCAGTGGCGAAAGCGGTTAATATCTGACTTAAACGCTGCCATTTTACTTTTTCAATAAAATTAATATGTTCTATCCAAAGATTATTTACACGTAGGTTACTTACTTAAACAATTGGAGCTAGAGTAACATATATATATGAACAATATGCATGTACAAAATAAGGCATTACATTTTTTTGTTGCATATTTTGAGGGGATATATGATTTTTGATTTTCTGTGGACTTACAGATTCTTTGTACAAAGATTTTGTCCGAGAGGACCCCTAGTGAAATTTTATGGCAAATAATTTTCTAGAAGATTTTAACCCTCTAGCGACCTTCAAAAAGCCATTTTGTTAGCACTTTCTAAAAAAGGGCCAAAACGACCCTTTTGTGAAGGAGATAACGGGTTAAAATGTTCTACAAAGTTATTCCTCGTAAAATTTTACTATACGTCTCGAAACAACATATTTCTCTCCGATATGTATTTTTACTCTTTTTTTCCTTTGTTCTAAAGACACTTGGGCAAAATATTGCAAATTTAAAATGGCCATAGCAAAGAAATTTGACCAACTAATGCAAAACGATTTTGAGGTTTTACTATATGGATCTTGGTCTTTCATCCAGAGTTGGAATCATTGCGCCCCCAAAAATGCTGTTACATAGTGTTATCATCATTTGAAAGAAAATTAAATTTCTAGATTACCTGTGTGGAAAAGAAAAGCATTGAATTACCAAATGAAATGTGAAATGTCATAACTGGGCACTTGGTAAATCTCCTGAAATCTTTGTCAGATTGTTTTACGAAGCATTCATAGATCTTCAGAGTTCTTCGACATCGAAACAAACATTTCAATATGTGTCTCTGAATGAGTTTTGGGTAAAGTAGTTAAAAGCCTATCTTATCTATGCTTCCTTCTTTCACAACGTATCGTTATAAAACATTGTTTTCAGCTTACAATTATACAAAAAACAAATTGAGGTCGAAATTGGATGTTATCCCAGAGATGCGCATACAGCTTTTAGACATAATACCAAACTATAAAACAATAATTAATAAAACAGTTAACCATTTTCATTCTTCACATTAAAAGTTATAATAGTAAATAGATATAATAGTAACGTTTTCATTCGTATTTAAATGGAAGTGCTTTTGATGTTTAGTAATTTCTGGCAAAATATTTTTTTTTTCACTTTTATTTCAACATATTTTGATTTAAAGAAAATATTGATAAAAATAAAATATTTCACACAAACAACAAAAAATATAATCGATAATCGCATGAGGCTATTGCCTGAAAATTTTAAAATGTACTTAGCGGTATTGTGCTACAACAAAAAAACGGTACTGTTTTTCCACTGGAATTATAAAATCTATGTATTATATTTTAAGGCTTCCACCAAAATATCTCGCAAAAATATTAAGATTTTCGATCTGAAAATACCTCCAAAAATTGAGTTATTTTATTAATAAACAGTTTTTTTTAATATTTATAATAATGAGATTTTTGATGCTGTTCTTGCACTTTTTTCAAAGACTGGTTTAAGAAAAACTTAAATAACTCAGCCAAAACCTTACCATTTAGACTTATGAGGTATCATTTTCTCACCCTTTCAATTTCTTTGCGAATAAGCTCATTCAAAATATGAAAAAGGGAGGTAAGATAAACGAGTGTCATTCCATGTTGAATTAAGATGTGTTGGTATTGAATAAAAAAACAATAGGACGTGAATGAGTTTTTTTTTGCAAAGAAACAAAAAGGGTGAGAAAATGATACCTGTGATACCTTATAAGTCTATATCGGTAAAGTTTTGGAGCAGGTTTTCAAGTTTTTCTTAAACAAATCTTTGAAAAAAGTTAAAAAACCGCATCAAAAATCTCATTATTATGGTTCCGATGATACAATTTTTTAATATTTTTATGTACACTGCCGGAACAAAGTATTGGCACAGCAATATTTTCACAATATATGCAACAATTTTTATTCTAATATTTTTGCTCCAAATTTGTATAAAAATATGGTTCATTCAACAACAAAAAACATAAAAATATAATTCCCAAACTTTGTGCAAAACTTTCAACTTTTTAATCAGATGAGTATGCAGTTTTGCAGCTCATTAAATTCTAGTAAAAAAATGCAAGTTCGGAGTTAGTCAAAAATCGCGTTGATTTTTGATAATTTTTTTGTTGAAGGTGTTTTGCATTTTTTCCATATAAAGTATTTTCGAGAAAAAAATTTTTTATGGAAAAGACTACGTGAAAAAAAATTACCAAAAATCAATAATCCTGGCTACTTAAAACTTGGACATTATTATAATAAAATTGATTGGGCTACAAATCTGCATACTCGAAAAAATTCTAAAAAATCTGATTAAAAAGTTGAAAATTTTCATGATAATTTGCGGAATTTTCGCGAGTTTTCCACAAAGTTTAGGAATTATATTTTTATGTTTTTTGTTGTAGAATGAACCATATTTTTATACGAAATTAGTGGAAAAATATTAGAATGAAAATTGTTGCATATATTGTGAAAAATTTGCTGTGCCAATACTTTGTTCCGGCAGTGTAGATTTTTTAAGCTTAAACTATTTTGTCATCTGAGGGGATTTTTTCCAAAAAATCCTTTAAGAAATTATTTTGACTACAAAAAGAACAATTTCCCTTTTTTTTGTTTTGTACCAATAGCCGAATATAAAAATGTACCAATCTGTACAAATGGACCAATCGAGTGCCACTGAGTATGCAGTTTTGTAGCCCATTGATTTCTAGTAAATAGAATGAAGTACAAGTTTCAAATGGCTAAAAACTACGATTTATTTTTTAGAATTTTTGAAAAAGGTCGAAATTTGTACGAAAGTTTGTGGATTTTTTTTTTAGNCATTGATTTCTAGTAAATAGAATGAAGTACAAGTTTCAAATGGCTAAAAACTACGATTTATTTTTTAGAATTTTTGAAAAAGGTCGAAATTTGTACGAAAGTTTTTTTTTTAATATTGCACAAATTTGTAAACTTGAATTCACGCGGTTTTTTTAAGAATGAACTATATTTTTATAAAAAAAAATAACCAAAATTAAATAACAACGAAAATAATAAATTA